AGCACAACTACACAGCCATGTTGTTTCTCCCAAGAGCTTCTCACAGAAACATAACATGATCATTCTGGACCCAAACCAGGTTATCCACTCTTCTCCTGTCCCTTCCAAAGACAAACCAAATTTATTACCACCCAGTCAATTCTGACTTATAGTGATCTCATCTGTTACAAATCACAACTGTTCCAAAGCATTTTCTCAGCTGTAATTTTCTTGTTAAAACATTTTATTCTGGGGGACTTCCAGCAAGATGGCAACTGAGTAACATGTACCAGAGGAACTCCACAGTAATCAGCACAGGAGACCAACTGAGATGGAAATTTCATGTTGCTGGGTCACAGGATGAGCACCATAAAGTAGCACAGATCTACTAGGTTTTTAGGTGCTGTGGGCTTTTGGCATACCACTGTGGATGTCAGTTAAGGCTTAACCGTAGAACCACCAAAGCATTGGCCAGAGATGGACTCCTTTGGCTGGCTCAAGCCCTTCCTTTACTTCAACACAGCCACAGCTTTCCACTGCGTCTGGGCAAGGTTTAAACCCCTTTAGCCCCATGGTCAGGGTATCGGGGCTCAGCTCTATCTTTACTTTTGTTTCTCTCTGTGCTTTCTTTCCTCCCACAGTTTCAGGGGACCCAGGTGTTTGGTTTTTTCTCCATCTTCTCTTTCCTCTCACACACCACTGCCAATATCCAGGCCACTCCCCTTTGCCTAGGGCAGTTACGCCCATCCTCCACCCAGTTGGGGGAGCGCCACCCTCTGAATGCTGTTGGGAAAATCCCACCCACTTTTCACCGCAGGTGAACTCAGGCCTACCCTCCTAGACCCTTTAAATGGCTTGGGGGAAATCCCACCTGCCTGCTCTCTCCAGCATGACATGTGGCTATGGAAATCCTACCTACCTCCCACCACAGGGAAACTTACATCTACCCTCCAAGGCTTCTGGGGAACTCCCACCATCATTTGGGGTTCTTCACTTAGCTAGGGGAACCTCTTCCCACCGTGCACAGTACTTTATGTGGCTGGGATAGCCCCTGCCCATCCTCCACAGTCCCACATGGATGAGGAAACTTTCTCCCACCTGCCAAAGCGCCTTACTTGGCCTAAAGTAGCTCCACAAATACTCTCCAGTGCTCCATTATACTGGGAAAACCTCTGTCTGATCTACGCAGGGATCTAGCTGACGAGGGCAATTCTGCACACCATCCACAGTGCTCTACAACAAAGCTGGCACATCAACCTGCCTTCTGCAACACTCCCGTTGCAGCAGGAACCCTTACAAACACTCTGAAGTGTCCCAAGCCACCGTGGGCCACACCACAATGGGCTCCTGTGAGATCATCCAATGAAGTGCCATCCTTTTTGGGTCTGCTAACACCCAACCAGCATCCGCTGAGAGGACTATCCACCTTACCCTATAAATAACAGAATACTTGTTGGCTAGGGAAATAGTGCAGCTACAGGAGAACAGAGTGGTAGCCCAATCCCAGAGTGCAATTATCTGTAGGCATTTCAAATAAGCATTCCTCCACGTCTCCCAAAGAGAGAGCCCAGTACTCTTTGACTCTCTGGAAAGTGGTGCAGGACTCCTCTAAAACAACACAATGGAAATAGCAATCAGCCCAAACGACCTCAATGAAAAATACAGAAGAAACAAAAGGAAATGTTGGAAGAATGCCTGAACCTAATGATGTGGATAGAAGAAGCAGACATTGATCTACCACAGAAATAAATCTTATGAATGCTGTTTGGAGTCATACAGGATATGAGGAAAACAATACAGAAAAGGGATGAAATTACAGAGGAGATAAAGACCATACACCAAATGGAAATACAAGACTTAAGGCACAAGATAACAAAAACCAGTAGCAAATCCACACACTTCACGAATCAACTAGAGGAAGCAGAGAACCACACAAGCAACCTAGAGCATAGCCAAGCAGACTTTAATGTGAAAAAAATGCAAAAAAAAGTCAAATAAGATCATCAGAGAAACTGAAGAAAGCCTGAGAGATATGTCTGATGCTGTGAATAGGGAAAATATCAGAATAATTGGATTACTAGAGGAGGACACAACAAAGACATGAACGGTAAAAATATCAAGGGAATTCTTGGAAGAAAACTTCCCCAGCTTAATTAATGAAAACCAGGCAACCATTCAGGAGGCCAAAGGAACACCAACTAGACCAGTGGTTCTTAACCTTCCAAATGCTGTGACACTTTAATACAGTTCCTTGTGTTGTGGTGACGCCACCCACCATAAAATTATTTGTGTTGATACTTCATAACTGTAATTTTGCTCCTGTTATGAATTGGGTAACCCCTGTGAAAGGGTCATTCGACCCCCAAAGGGGTTGCGACCCACAGGTTGAAAACTGCTGAGCTAGATGTAATCCTAGAAGTCACCAAGACATATAATAGTTTAACTATCAAACTTTGAGAAAAGGAGAAAATCATGAGAACAGCTAGGGAAAAAATAAGCAGTCACCTATAAAAGTACCCAAGTAAGAATATGCTCAGATATATCAGTGTATACCATGAAGAAGAGGAGAGAGTGGAGTAACGTATTTCAAAAACTAAAGGAAAAATAACACAAGCCCAAGAATACACTATCCATCCAAATTATGTGTCAAGATAGATGGAGAAGTAATATTCTTCCTAGACAAGGACAAACTCAAAGAATACATTAAAAGAAACAGGACCCTACAAGAGATCCTTGCGAATCCAGCATGGGCAGAACAGCACTTACTGAGCACAAATAAGAGACCACCACATACAACAATTCCACCCAGAGGGCAACAAAGAGAAATCAGCCCCCAAGACAGCATAGGCTTAAAGGTGGAAAGAAGTCAAGAGTGAAACACACACACACACACACACACACACACACACACACACACACACACTGATGCACAACACACTGATCAGAAGGGGGGGTAGGAAAATATCCAACAGAAAAGGTACAAGATGACAACACAGAATCCACAGATGGATGTAATAATCCTTAGTATCACTGGACTGAACTAAGGCATTTAAAGGATGACGCTAGCAGACTGGCTTAGAAAATACAACCCGTGAATCTGATGCCTACAGGAGACACACCTCAAGATTACAGACAAAAATAGACTGAGAACCAAAGACTGGAGAAAAATATACCAAGCAAGCAATTCAAGAAAAGCAGGGGGTTGCAATCCTAATCTCAGACAAATTGATCTCAGGGTGAAAACCAAACCAAGAGATGAGGAGGGGCACTATATAATGATCAAGGGAACATTAGACCATGTAACAGTGAGCATAATCAATATATATTCACCGAACGAGAGACCTGCGAAATTCATCAAACTCTCCAAAGATTGAAAAAAAATATTTCAGACTCAACAATTATAGTAGGTGGCTTTAATACCCCACTCTCTGAGAAAGATAGATCACAGGAAAAGGAGCTTAACAAGGAGTGTACAGATCTAAACATCATAATTAGACAACTTGACATGAAAGATTTTCAGAGCTCTCCACCCAAATGAAAAAAAACACTTTCTTTCCAAGCCTACATGGCACATACTCAAAGATAGACCACATACTGGGACACGAGATGAATCTGTGTAAATTCAAGCACATGGAGATCATATAGACTTCTCTCTCTGACCACTTTGCCATAAGGCTGGGAATTAACAAAAGGACGATTAAGAAAGCAGAGTCAAATAATTGGAGGATGAATAACTATTGAAAAAGGAATGGGTACTGGCCCAGATCAGACAGGAAATCAGAAAATTTCTAGAAACCACAAAGAATGAGAATACAACAAACCAAAACCTTTGGGATGAAAAAAAGGCAGTTATCAGAGGACGTTTGATAGCAACACATGCACACATGAAAAAAGAAGAGAGACCTATGATTGATAAGCTGACACAAAACTTGCAGAAATTAGAGCAGACTCAAAAGGACAATGCTACTTATACTAAAAGTAAAGAAATAATAAGAATTAGGGCTGAGATTCATGAGAGGGAAAACAAGAAAACTATGGGAAAAAATAATGCAACTAAGAGTTGGTTCTTTGAAATGATTAACAGAATCGATAGACCACTGGCAAACCTAACCAAAGAAAAGAAAGAACAACTTTCAATAGTAAGATGAGGGATGAAACAAGGGACGTTACAATGGATCCTATTGAAATCAAAAGGACAATTACACAGTGCTATGAAGGCCTGTACTCCAATGAATTCAACAACTTGGAAGACATGGAAAAATACTTGGAAAAATAATCCCTTCCACGTGGGCATGAAGAATCTCAACAGACCCATAGCAACAGAAGTAATAGACAAGGTTATCAAGGGATTACCAACAGGAAAAAAAAAAACTGGACCAGAGGCTTCACAGAATTCTACCAAGCATTACGTGAAGAACTGCCTCCAATTGTACACAAACTCTTCCAGAACATAGAAAAATATGGCAAATTCCCAAACTCTTTTTCTAAAGCTAGTATAACTCTAATACCTAAACCAAACAAAGATCCCACAAGAATTGAGAGCTACAGACTAATATCCCTATTCCACATTGATTCAAAACTCCTTAAAATCCTGGCCAATAGAATACAAAAGTATATAAAACAAAGAATTCACCATGACCAAGTGGGATTCATACCAGGGATGCAGGGAAGGTCCAACATATGAAAGACCATTAGTATTATTCACCATATTAACATGAAAAATTATAAGAACCACATAATAATATCGATAGATGTGGAAAAAGCATTCAACAACATCCAACACCAATTCCTGTATAAGGCACTTGAGAAGATAGGAATGGTAGTAAAACTCTTCATTATAATACAAGCTATATATGAAAAACCCGAGGAGCCAGCCAGTGAGCAAGCGGGACGCCAGACCAGACCGGGGCGTTTCCGAGAGACTCAGCTGGACTCCGTGCCCAAAATTCGGCCCGCGCTCCGCCGCCGTCTCCCGCATGGTCCAGCAGGGCGAGCTGTGAGCATCTCCTGTTGTGGCCACTCCTTGGGGCCAGGAGCGGGGAAGCTGAGTGCTAGAGACCCCAGACCGAGCGCAGCCTCCTCCGCCATCCCAACCACCATGACCCAGTTCAACAAAGGCCCTTCCTACGGGCTCTCGGCCAAGGTAAAGAACAAGATTATGTCCAAGTACGACCATCAGGCAGAAGAAGATCTTCACAACTGGATAGAAGAGGTGACTGGCTTGAGCATTGGCACCAACTTTCAGCTGGGCTTAAAGGACGGCATCATCCTCTCCGAGCTCATAAACAAACTACAGCCAGGTGCCGTGAAGAAAGTTAACAAGTCCTCGCTAAACTGGCCTCAGTTGGAGAATATTGGCAACTTCATTAAATCTATTCAGGCTTATGGCACAAAACCCCATGACATCTCTGAAGCAAATGATCTCTTTGAAAATGGAAACATGACACAGGTTCAGACTATGCTGGTGGCCCTAGCTGGTCTGGTGAAAACAAAAGGGTTCCATACAACCATTGACATTGGGGCTAAGTATGCAGAGAAGCAAACGAGACGTTTTGATGAAGGAAAATTAAAAGCCGGTCAAAGTGTGATTGGCTTGCAGATGGGAACCAACAAGTGTGCCAGCCAAGCCGGTATGACAGCCTATGGGACTCGGAGGCATCTTTATGATCCCAAAATACAAACCGATAAGCCCTTTGACCAGACCACAATTAGTCTGCAGATGGGCACTAACAAAGGGGCCAGCCAGGCGGGGATGTTGGCACCAGGCACCAGAAGAGATATCTATGATCAGAAGCTGACCCTACAGCCAGTGGACAACTAGACGATCTCTCTACAGATGGGAACCAACAGAGTGGCTTCCCAGAAAGGGATGAGTGTGTATGGGCTGGGGTGGCAAGTGTATGACCCCAAATACTGTGCCGCCCCCACCGAACCTGTCATTCACAATAGCAGCCAAGGAACAGGAATGAATGGGTTGGAAATCAGTGATAGCAACTATCAAGCTGAGTACCCAGATGAGTATCATGGGGAGTACCCAGATGACTACCCCCGAGAGTACCAGTATGGCGACCAAGGCATTGATTACTAGAGTCACACAGAGGAGGAGCGAGCACAGTATTTACTCCATCGTTCTTCTTCCGTGAGAGCCAGGCTAGCCTTGAGTAATTTTTATCTCATCTTCCTAAAACACTATTATGCTGATTATACCTAAAGAAAATACAGTGAACCCTCGTTTATCGCGGTTAATCAGTTCTAGACCCTACTGTGATAAATGAAATTCCACGAAGTAGGATTCCTTATTTGTAAATCAAATATTTTCATAGTTAGAGCATAGAGGACATGAAAAAACACCCTTTAG